AAGCCGCTGGCTTTCTGAGACTGAGCTTCATCTGGCCTCTACCCGTTAAACTTCTAGGCATGACTGGATCTACGGCTGTGAAAAGCCATCCTGTATAGCTCGCAGGGTCATCAAAGCACGCAAGCCATCACACTACGTCAAGGTGCAGTCTCATCGTGATGGGATGTGAACCCGGGCACGACGAAGCGCTGGTTGCTTTGTCCATCTGAGATCGATTTGAGCAAATTAGTGCATGTCAGAGCAGCTCCACTTACCTGTTACAGTCATGAAAGGATCTACAGAATGATCAACTCTCGGACATACGACGTCTTAAATTAGTCGCACTTCGAGGGATTTGAACTGGTCGATTAAAAATCAACACACAGGGGCTCAACGCATTCCTGGTCCCAAATCCACACTCATCTACTAACTGCCCTGTTGATGCATGACCCCACCGTTGTTGACTTTGTCACGCATAACCCCCTTTCCACCCCCACCCACCTCACATGTGTCATCTTGCTTGCTTGCCTACATTGTGCTTGTTTATCCCGATTATTTTTACCGCACGCTCTACCGTGATCCAGATCAATCACTCGATGCCCCGATGACCCATTGATCTTGATCACTTGATTAGCCCTCCCCGCACGCGTCAATGTTGACAATCGCTAAATCTGTAACGACCGCATCATTTATTTGCCGCTCCAAGTGTGCTCCCGTATAACTCATGAGACACCCCGGGTAACCCAATGACAGTCGCCTACTAGTGCATGTCCCTGACTGGTTGTTTAAATCCGTTATATAAACTGTTCATGGCATTTCTCCCTCCAATTGCCGCGGGAGGGACTTCCTTGAAGCCTTGTCTTTGTCCTATCAGTCTTACCGTGTTTCCCCGATCGGGGTGCCTCGAATTTGAGGAAAAATTGATTTATTAGGAGTAGTAAATTTGGAATAATCTATTCGATTGTTCACAGGCACCAGGCACTGTTTGCTTAAACCATTCGCACCAGATGATGACCGTCGACCGTGTACCCCAGGGGGAAGGGTCCGAAGTCCCGACCCGAATATTCGCGGTTCCAGTCCTGACAGGGACACACAGAGTATGCTGACGAGTCGCAAACAGGACGAAATAACTGTCCAGCTCGTTGTGTCCATCATCACAAGTCTTTCCATTTCTTATAAAATTGATTGATCCACAATGGTTTCCCTCATCACGAGACGTAGATTTTTCGACGTTGTTCCCTCCGGAATCGGTATTTGTGCTTCTCTCTATCACTGAGCATCAATGTGGTACGAGCGGAATTTGCCCAATGAATGACACTTGCTCACTCGAATGAAATGTTCTTAACCACTTTACACAATATCACCATTTTTTCCACTTTAACCACGGTTGCATGACACGTAATTCCATTTCCGATCGACTTAGAGACGTATACAATATGATCTCTCTCTCACTCTATTATCTTTGACCTTGCTCATTCCGGGGTTGAAAAACCGTAGATCAAATTTTTGGTTCAACTCTACCATTTCCTGCTGACTGTGCAGTAAAGAACACTCAATCTCAAGACTAACATGAATAGTTCCAATTTTTCCGGCGACCATCAAGACAATTTATTCACGCGTGCATCATGAGCAAACACCGTGGCCTTCATGAGAACTGGTCCCGAAATCAAGTGCACGAAGAAACAAATCGTGCGCACATAATCGGGATCAATTCGACCATCTGGCATGGTATGTACCCACAAACAAACGTCAAAAGCTTGATCTGATTTATACAGGACTGAAACACTTCTCCTGAACTGCTTGTATAGTCCGTGTTGCAATGAAGCCACAACGTGCTTTGCGCACAGCGCAAGCTATTCCATACATGATGCGGGACTAAATCGTGGATCAGTACGCGGTGGAACCTCTTCCTTCTGGTTTGGATGTATGTGCCAGTGAAGGGCGGGGGAGGTTTCCATGGTACACAGACAGTGACTAAATTGGAGATGATTCTGTGAAGATAGTGTTTGACAGCAAGATATCAGTACGTCTCTACAGATCAAATGAAAACAAAAGACCCATTAGATATTGAATGATAGAATAAACACGTAGAAAAAACCCTTTGTGTGTGTGTGTGTGTGTGTCTGTAGTCGATCCAAAATTACGCTAACCGATCGATCGGGTGNAGTGCGCGGCAATTGGATTTTTAAGTATTGAGAGACATGTGGAGTCTGCCCCCACTCCCAAATATTGAATACCGATGGTCATGCTGACCACAACATACACGTGAGCTATCTCGGCCTGATCGTGTCACACACGAACCTGCTTTCGGGGTACTACTCACCTCGGTTACACGAGCCCTGGCGGTCATGGTGGAGTTGGTGCCGTTCGCAGTTGCAGACGGGGATACACCAGTACCGGGAGTGGTTGGTTGGGAGGCCATGTCAGTCAGGGGACCGGGTGAAATGGAATGCGACGGAATGGAGGACGAGAGGACGGGGAACGAGGACTCGGTTTTCGTTTTCCCGGATACGGACACGCCGGTTTCCGTTCTCGGAACGGCAACTTCTTCATCCAACCGAGGCTGGATAGAGGGTTCCTGTTGTACAGGGGATTAGTTACGGGTGGGGGCAGGTAAGGAGGATGAAAATTAAAACAAAATCCCCGATAGTTATCAGGCTCATTTCGACCGAGGAGTTCCAATCAAAACAAGGTAGTGAAATGAAACGAGTGATGCGAACTAGTACTTGGAGCAAGTAACCGAACGGTGGGAAATCGGAAACAATTTTCGGTTAACTATATACCTTTTTGAGTAATAAAAAACATAAGGTCATAATTAGTTTTAGATACGAAAAGAATTCAATGAATGGAAAACTTTATAGAAGCATGGTGGATTTCCAGGTCTAAATGACGAACAAATATATTGAATCATTCGCCATATAGTTCCGGTTCAAGTACAACAGAACACCCCTAAATAAACGCGACGTGAAACAAATGAATTCTCTGACCTTAGGATGATCGTAACCGATGGTTAGAGGTACTGAGTGTCGTAAACGATGGCGCCCGTGCATCTCCTCAATTTCTTTGCAATATTAGTCTACTGGAATTCACCTTTTTATCTTCGACTCTACTTTCAACTTTCTAGTGTCCCTTCCACTCCTTCATCCAACTCGGGCGACCGAAGGACAGCAACCGAAACCGGCGCACGAAAGCGCATGGTTGATGGTTGCACAAACTGAACTGAACTGAACCAAAGCCGATCCTGCTACACCACGCGGTTTTGATCAACTTGTAATCTGCCCAGTGTGTGTGGTGGGGGAGGCTTGCGGGCAAGTAGTGTGAAGTCTTCGCTCTATGGGGCCAGCGCTAAGCGATTCCGTGGTAGAGTGGCATTGCAAGTCCCCATCCCGCTGCCCCAGATAGTACCGCGTAAGACGGTAACTAAGGCTAGTCAGATTTCTGCAAGTAGATCGCAATGAAGTTGATTTATTGGTTTAATGAAAATGCGGATTGCAACCCGCAGAGGCGCGACATTGACGGGCCAACGGTACAAATTCCCGACTGACGCTCACACGTAATCCCAAAGAACCAGCGACCTTTATCGCGTCAAGATATACGTAAACTTGGGCTAAGAAGACAAATTGGCTGTGCATTAAAACGCGCAAGAACTTGTGGATTGATTGATCACCGATGTAGTGTCATGAAACCATCCACGTTCTGCGGCAGGTTATCTGGATTGGCGACAGTATATTCATTCATTTTTTGGCAGGCAATGCACTGGATGTACGAAAATAGTACCGAAAATGCTTTCGTCTCATGGTTATGCCATGAAATGTCCGTTTACCCCCAACTTCTCTTTGTTTGAGTCCAGTTGTACTTATGTCAGGCAGTTTCAAATGATAACCTAAAATTAACCCGCAGAAGAAACTGCCCCAAAGGGGACAGAACGCAAGGCAGGTTTTGCGGTTCGAGGGGTCGTCGTCGGTATGAGAAATACACTCGAATGAAATCCCTAATCTAAATTATTTGTTTGTATTATCTTCGGTCATGCCCAGGGAATCAATCGGCAATAAGTGGTGGCATAATAAATTTGGGTTCTAAGCATCAGGTATTGATCGAATTGATTGCCTACTAAAGGCCCGGAACTGGCGAGTGATTCAAAACTGCTCTGTACGCTTTCGCTCGGAAAGCAAGCACGTGATGACGGTCTATAGTAAACCGTGAACAGCAGTTGTACGAGGCAAACAGGAAAACGAAAATGTGGCAGAGTGCAATTAAAATGCACGCGGTTTGTTTTCAAAAGCCACGCGCCATCACCAGCCCACTACAATGTGATTGACCTGAATCGTCCGCTGATGAGAATGAAGGGGTAATCAATCCTGGGAACAGATACAGCAGTTTGTGAGAACCTGTGGTGTCTGGTGCAAGCAGACCACTATCTGCACGTGATCGACCAGCGCAATTCGCAAATACGCAGTCGTTTTTTCAAAGTTCTCTAGGGAAGCGTACTAAAATCTCGCAGTCACAAATA